GGAGGGGGGGGGGGCCACACATAATAAAGACAAGAAAGATTGGCAGAGAACGGGGCCAACGACAGAGGAGGTTGGAGACCAGAAACTTTCATCACGAGACCATTAGAGGCCGCGTCACATGAGACCCCCGCGAGGGGTCACTACCGTTACAGTCCCTGTCCTTATGTGGGCCCCTAGGATTGAAGGGCCACACGATTTGGATATTAGATAAGTGAACAGTTGAGGAATCGATGCTCCGCGTGATACCGATCGGCCACACACGCGGAGGCAGCGTCTATGGCGGTCGTTTCACGCTAGTCAGGCACCACGCAGGATGGCGACACGATGCCAGGCGTTGGATGGAGTGTCGGGTCCCTCAGGATCCGTCTCATTCACACAAAGGCCCGATGACTTTTTTCCCATAGAGGATCCAAAGTCTGGAACGGCCCCTCCTAACCCGTACACACAATGCTCCCTTCCTCCCTCTCCAGGGGTGGAGCGGATTAACCCGCGCGAGGCCGGCCCAGTGGCCATTGTTTCCTCGGAATGCGTCTATTTAGAGGGCAGACGTTTCCTTTTGCCGAGGTTGCAGCTTATTCACCGTTTCCTCTCTGTGGCCCCAGAGCTGGTAGATGATTAAACCGGCTTCCCTCCGTCTGCTGAGCTGCCGGGGGCGCGGACACAAGCGGGCGCGGGGCAGGCCCAAACAGGTGAAGACAAGGAGGGCAAGCCCGGCAAAACTACACAAAGAAGACCGTGTCATAGGAGATGACCAAGTGTGACCAGCTTCCATCTTGTGGAGACCACCGTATCTCCACCTCAAGGGCCCATTCACACCACAAGCAGCCGGCTCAGCGTATTGGCACATCACATTAATCCAGAACAGATCTCTAACCCGAACCCAAAATAATCCCCGCCCCCTAGAAACAACAACAAACCCAAAGAAGGTTCCTACGGGCAGCGCGCGGGTGCCATAATCCTTCCTGAATGAATTCTGATTGGTTGGAACAGGTTGGGCTGTTTATGGGTGAAGGCAAGAGGCGGACCTGATCCCTGGCGCCGCTGGTTTTATTGGGCCCCATTGTCCCCCTCTGAGCTATAATGAGCTCCTCTGGAAGTCACAGAGGGAGAGGAGTCACCCCCGCCACTGGCATATGAGGACAGGCACATGCATCCCACCTTTCATTCCCAGAGCCGCGCATCCATGGTCCACCATGCACTCTACCACCTCACCACCCCGCCACTTGGATTGGAAGCCACATGGCTACTTTGGGTCACATTGGCCACTAAAGGCTCTTTATTTTCCACCCCGACACGCTTGTACATTTCTTTCCCACGCTCCCCCAATGTACTAATCGTAGATGGATGCCCGGTGCTTGCGGGAATAGGGGGCATGTGACATCCTCCCAGGATGCAGTCCTCTGGTCTAGCAGCCAATCACCAGGCCTGAACACGGTCATGTGAGGGAAAGGAAGATGGTGTAACCATCCAACACAGAGCTTGCACAGGGTTTGATCCAACAGAGGAACAAACTGGCATGTGGAGTGCAATGAGGTGAGATAAGTGGAGGGGGGGGGGGGGGCCCCCTTG